TAGTTCATAGTTAAAGCAGTAACACGCCAGCTCGTCTGCTACTTTCTACTGTGTGGCGACACATGCAACTCACACCTTACTCTCGCATCGCTAGCGCCTCCTGGTGGAGAGAAAAGAGCGGGAGAAGAGCTGCACTGCAGAAAGATAGCCACACCTTTGGCACTTTGCCCCAAATGTCTTCTCGCTCTATCTTCTTCTCTTTCAGAATATGTACTAGGATTCTTGCTCCATTTTTTTTTCTTATTCCTATAATTAACTGATAATTCCCACTTGTGCATACAAACTTAGGTACTGTACATAGGTATACTTTTTTTCCTGCAGTTTTTAAAACTCCTTCCGTGAATTTTATTTAACACATATAACAGCTTTTTAACGAGCGGAAGAGGAAGTTTTTCCACGTCAATTATGTGTGAAGATTAAAGATAAGCGCTTAAAAAATATATGTATATATAACTAATAAAATTGTTAAATATAATTAAATCATGCTACAGTTAATTTACTTTAATTAATTAATTAATTGTACAATTAATCAAGGAGGAATATTATTATACGTTATGTTTAATGGATTATCAGTTTAAAGAGAGTAAATATGAGTTTTTTAGAACACAGATTTACAAGAGGAACACTTGAAGAAAACTGAAAGAAATTAAAATAAATTAAATAACATAAACAATTTTATTTTTTTATTTTTAAAAAAAACATTAAGTGGAAAATAATTAGTTGTAATAAAATAGCATGAAAATGAATCAGAATAATATCCAATGGAGCAGAAACAAGTTTGAAGAAATGTCATTAAGCAGTTTGGCTCCTGCTAGGTTTTTTTGCTGTTTTTTACTTTTTTTGCAAGGAAAATTAATCGTATTTTTCCAGCAGCTATTATTTTTATTAAGTAAACTTGCAACTAAATAAATAACTTTGATTATTAGCAATGTTTAGTTAGAAAGTAATCATGTTTAGGTATCGATCATCGTGTATTTTAGTCAATAATTTATATAAAAATATCAATTTTCTTTTATAATTCTTTCTTATAAATGAATTAATCGGAATTTTATTCCGCTTTTTAATTACATATAAATTAGAAACATAAATTTTATCTTTATTTACTAAAATTTCTCCAACTTCTCCAACGTTATACAAAAATATAATATACATTTTCTATCAAATCGTGAGCTATAGATATAGAAATAGCGTGAATTTATTTACTAACTATACATCTATATTTATAATATATATATATATAT